GAGGTCTTGCCAGGATCCCTCCAGGGTCTCACCAGGGTGTCTCGCTGGACTCTGCCCTTGTTCTCGTGTTGTTGGATTTTCCTTTTCCAGGCAGAAAAGCTTTAGCCCGGGGGGGTTTTGCCGGAGCCGCCGGCTGTCCGGCTGCGCCGCTCCGGGACCGTTTACCTCACTCACATCACACTTTGCACTGTACATTTATTATTATTATTATTATAATTATTATTATTTTTTAACTCGTGTTACCTCCAGACAGACGCACGGACGCCTGCCGACGCGAGCTCTAGCGAAACCCCCCCGGAATTCTAAAGGAAAAAAAGAAAAAAAAAAAAAACCAAAAATCCTAAAAAAAATTGGAAATAGGGAGATATTTTATTCATTTCCATCCTTTTCCTTCCTTTGTTTTGGGAACTCCACTCTCTGCAGGATTTTAAGAGGTTGTTTTTGATTGTTTTGTTGTAAATAGCTTCTATTTTATTCTCTTTAAAAAAAAAAAAATCAAACTTTTAACATGCAAATGATATATATTAGTCTTCATCAGGGAAAACRGGAGCTTGGAAAAAAGTTGGAATCTCCTTTCTCCTCTCCTTATCGGTGGTTGGGTCCAGCTCTGCTCTTTCCCCCACCGGAAAATCCTAATTTTTATTCCTCCCCCCACCCTGCACAAAACTACTGTTTAAAGCCAATTTGGGCTTATTTCCTCCAAAAACAAGCAGGATCCAGAGGATGGGGATGCTCAGGGGCTGCAGGACRCTCCAGAGCTCGCAGAGGACCCGAAGGACCTGAGGATTTATTTTAAGCCTCACCATCTCAGTTTTGATTTTGTTTTATTTTTACCATTTCCCCCGCCTTCTCTCTCCAAAAAAAAAATATAATTCACCCACATCTGCGTGAGACACAATCCGACCTGATACCGAAAGCCCCGAGYCCCCCTCGGTATCTCCATTCTCAGGTTCCCACCTGGAGCACAGGGTTTTTCCCCCCTCCACCCCTTTATTTTTAATTTCACTCGGGGAAGTGGCGATCTCAGGGGATTTGGGTTTTTTTTTTTTTTT